ATTATATTAAAATTCGATTCTGCGGAAGAATTCACCGGATTCTTGCCAATTCCAAGTAAACTAGACGTTGATCACCTCCACAGCGACAACCTTGTCTGCAGTAACCTCGAGGCCAAACGGTGAGAAAGCCAGCCTAGCTAGCTTGCAGTACTGGAACCCGAATGGAATACCAATTATAGAGATAAAGCAGAGCACTGCCGAGAATATATTGAAGATAGCGATAATTAAACCAGGAATGAACCACAGACAGTTTCCGAGACAGTTGCATGCGCAACAGGCAGAATTGTCTTTCTCTTCAACCTGATCAAACAAACTGGTTTACGTGAGAAGGAGATGATAACCATTCAGTGCTTACCCGATAGCCAAACGGTATGAACGACAACTTAGCCATTTTGAAGCACTGCAGGCCACATGGAATACCAATGATAGTGATGCAGAATACACAGCCAAAGAAGAGCCACCAGAGAGCTGCGACCCAGCCGCCGACCAGTATCCATAAGATGTTGCACGTCCAATGACCACAGCCTCGACGATCTTCGACTTTGAAAACTTCAGCCATGTGACTGCGAGAAGGACTAAATGAGGCTAAATGCAGTTAGATGTTCCCGACTCCCAATGAGGGTACTCCGAAGCTTAACCTTATTGGGAGTAGGGAACATCAACCGTTGAACCACCCATGAACACAGATTGGTAGAGTAATAGCACAAACAGATGTTACTGATATTACAGCAAGAATGATCTCAAAAATAGCAACTACAATGCTGGGAGACTCTGGCATATAGTTGCAGAACTAGCCACTATCACATAATGCGACACTTCGTCTGTCAATAACATGACCATCTCAAAACTCTAGGCCACAGAGCAAATACACGAGAGTCATGCGGGACAGAGCGGATGTGTAAACTATGCTAGAAAGCTCAGCTAGATTTCAAAGAATGCCAAAAATTGTATTCCAAAACTCAGTATTGATGCACCTCATCAGAGAAAGTGCATTACGGTAATGCACCACCCCATCAAGAAGGCTAGCACTGTGTGACGCAGG